ATTCGCATATAGAACGCATACGCATTCGCTTGGAAAAGTCGTTTCTGGCTATGTAGTAAAGCCGAATGACAAGTGGATTGAACTTGGAAAGAGAGATCCACTGACTCCTCAGATGTTTTATCCTGTTACCAATAAAGTTTCAATTACGTATGGTGATAAATTAGCTGCTCGTTGTACAATGCAAAGTACGCGCGATAGAACTACGTTTATAGGTGGAACGAACGAAGATGAAATGTGTAATATGTATATTATGTATTATGTCAAGGAAGGCACTCCGCTTGAACGGAAATATTGCTTCACCGCAGGGCCTCCTTTATATTATTGGAAGCAAGAATTAAATAATATTCCTGACAAAGAGGCATCTAAGTTATAAAAAGGTAAAGAATGTTTGGCATAAATAGATCGATTCTATATTATCATAGAGAATTAGACAAAATCTAAACGTTTCTGCAGATTACGTGTTTGAATGCATTTGAATCTAATTCGTTAATGAGATAGGGCCCATATTTGGGGACCAAATCGTCCTAATATAATTTATGGCAGATCTTTTATAGTAACTTATTTGTTTATTATTTTAATGTATCTTTTACCTATTCAGTTTATTCTATCGTTATTATTTGTTCAATTTTGTAAAATAACTTGAAACTGTTGTTATCTCAAAATGAGTGTCTACCATTTATCCAGCATACGCACAAATTCCAAATTAATTTCTAATCCAATTAATTAATTTCAAATTAATTTTATATATTTTTAAGTGAATACAAACATTTTGTGAATACTGTAATCAGGGTACATTGTACTTACTTTACTCAAATTTTTTTAAGGACTCGATATCAATTTATATCTTAGAATACTTCTTCTTGTCAATTTTATAAATGTGACATATGATCATTCAAATTATTATATTGTAATAAATTATTCTATACATTGCTGATTAACTGTGTAATAATACACGTAATTCGTGATAAAAGAAAGCCTAAAAATTGTCTATTATAAACTTACTTATTGGCTAATCAATTATTGCGTCGGATTTTGCAATATTTTTAACTGTACAAACATTTTAAATTTATATAACTTAATTTCAAGTTTCATCATGTTTCATCTGATTAAAATTATTACTTATATGTATATTAAAGCGCCATGCAAATGTGATATAAAAAGATAACGTTAAATTTAGACTTAGTTTCAATTACTATTTATTATTACATGCATGATGTTTGAAAATATTTTGAAGAAATTATTGGAGGCATTGTTATAGCACATGCCATATACATTCTTGTTATTTATTTTAATCAATTTATCAATATAGCAATAGAATTTTAGAATTTGGGAACCACTCTCACGTGACACATTCAAATAATTCTACGACTGATAAAAAAGAAAAAACTGTTTATGATTCATTAATCATAGTATATATGTATATATGTATGTATATGTGACGAGAATGCTATTTTCAAATGTTACAAAGTCCTTATTCTTTCAATAACTTCTCTGGACTGTACATATATAATGCTCAGGAATCTCTACGCCTTCAGACTGCGTATGTTAAATAAAAAGATATAGATATAATTGTATTTAGCGCACTTTTTTCGTGATATCATTTACAGATAATATTTATTTTCGATAATGTATAAATGTGGCAACTGTCTCTGAAAAAAATCTAATTGTGAGACATGTATATCAATAAATGACCTATGCAAAAGTTGTTTAATCTCTTTTCCATATATTAAATAATAAGTTAATTTTATCTTTGTTAATAAAATGACACTGCTAATAATTAATCATTAATTTAATTTATATAATTTTTTTTATAATTTTTTTTATAAGTTTTTTTTAATAAGTTACTAAATAATAATTGGGTAACAAATGAGAAGGCTAAAAATCATTACAATTGCTTTGAAGTATTTGATTAATCAATCAAAAAAGGCTTCAAAGGCTTCATTTGAGGAGCAGATTTTCAAAATGCGTTTCGTCCAAAATTTGTAATTTTCAGAAAATGAGAAAGAAACTATGCACACAAAAAAATTACGTATTTTACAGAAAATAATAATATGTCAACTAGTAGGACTACTATTAAACAAAATTGCTTAACAATTGCTAAAGATGTTAAACAAATACATACATTTTATTTGTTTCTCATTTAAAAACATAATGCACTTCAAAATATCTATGTGTTTTCAGCATATAAATTAACAATGAAAAAATGCTTTCTGAACATCTCGGAGTATTATAATATAAGTCATTCAACACTGAACACTACGCCTTGAACTAAAAAAAAAATGAAATTTGAACAAAACGCACTTTGGAAGTCTGCTCCTCATTTGATGCTAGCATCACGTTCACTGTATTCAAAACATATGAAATTGATGAGATATCACAATTTTATATTAACGTGTAAATATAATGAAATTCAATTTATAAATTCACTCACCGGCGTTGTACCCTAGCTAAGTACGCTTTTAGCTGCACCTGAAAAAATTAATAATTCCAATTAATTTTGAATTTCATACGCCGACATTTTATTCACTTCATGTCAATTGATGGACGGAATAAAAGCCTAATAACAAAATCTTTATATTAATAAAAATTAAAATAACTTGCTACTTTTTCATTATACATAAATGAATACAAAATCAAATAAATTTATGTAATGTCTTTAAGAAGTTACATGTTACAATATTTCTCTATTACAATCAATATTATATATAAAAAAGCTAATCGCCAGAAAAAGGGCCTAACTAGAATTGTGCCTATATTCCGCCCATCCTTACAATTATATATATTATCTAATCTTTTTTATTTAATTATTTCAAGAAATGTTCAACGAATATTTTACATAAAGCATAAAAATATTTCTTAAAATAAACATTTTCGAATACTTCAATAAATTTTTTGTAAGTAATGCAAGTTATGCACATATTAATTCAAAAAGTAAATCTAGATAAATCAATTAATAGCTCACCAGCTAGGATATTGTAGTTTACTTCATCTCCTCGCAAGTTCCTCCTTAGAAAGGCCCGCATCAATTCCAGAAAAGAATGAACACCGGATACGGATGCTTCACTACGCACAATTTCAAAACTTGATTCGCGCGTCATCGAAGGGCGATTTCACGCTAATGATTGCGTTCAGCAAACTCAACTTGCGGAGCAGATCTGTGAGCGCTCGCTACTATTGGATGCTTTAGAAGAATATATGAATAGCAGCGAGCGCTCCGCAACACTTGAGTTAGCTGAACGCGTCAAACGTTGCAAAGTCCAAATGAATCACATTCGTCCTGCGACGTAGATTATTTCCGTTGAACGTATATTTATAACGATCTATTTTTTCGACATATCACGTCTCTAATGTTCCGACTATCCGAAAAGAACGTACGACTCGGTATTGCGCGCCCAAAACAAAGATCAACATTTTTTTTCTCGCACTCATTTCGATGTTTATATCATATTCGGTCTCGATTATATACGACGAACTCGCGGCAGTCATACACTCATCACTTTAATCGGCACTCCCGACATAAATTCGCGCCCATAACGCGTTTCCTGACCGATAAATTCACGATTAATCATGAAGCAACTGCCTTCTCCGTCCGAACTAAATGAGCCGCCGAATTGTCATGGCGGCCGAAATCAAGGTGCCTTTACATGCGAACGTCGAGCATCAGAGCATGCGCAGTTACATATTAAATAATTTACCAAAATATATTGGATTCGATTACGCGCTGCTGATAAAGGAATCATGTAGATCACATTACAAATGTAAATTTTAAGTACTATATGTTAGAATAGCAGTGTAATCTGTAATGTACGTAACGGCCACGCGCCTGCGCAATACTGACATAATTTGAAATATGAATTGACGATTTGAATTGACGAGAGTTAGACTCTTTTTTTGCGTTTTTGAACAACTACAATTTAGTCAATATTTTTTTAATAATAATTAAAAGAAGTGTGAAAATTTACGTACGAAAGATGCAAAGAAAGAGAAGTTTGGAAAAAACATTGTTAATTCAAATTGGCGCACACACATAGAACGCTTTGCAAGCTGTTCTACAGTCCTACGTCGGTGTATGTAAGTAACAGTAAAATACAAATGTAATTTCAATTGTGTGGACAATTAATTTACATTCAGTATAGATTAAAGATTACATCTGTAAACGTCGATTATAATCAGTAACTTTATTTAATTTGTCTAAATGCTTCAAAGCATTTTTTAATTAACTAATTAATAAAATTTTTTTAATTGGTCAATTAAATACTTCGAAGTAGCCCGAATACTTGTAAGCACACAAAACTATAAGAAATTAATCATAGTTAATTGTTTTTCACAATACAAAAAAGATATAAACAAACATACAAAAAAGATGTAAACAAGGATAAAATAATAAACTATGAATGTGCTGCACTGTGCAATTCTCTAATCAGTATTTATTGTGGATATCATAATAAAATATCTTTGCAAAGCTGACTAATTGTAAAACTGTTTATGAAACTAATCTAGTCAAAGTAGCATATAAAAAATTATTGCAGTATCTTAATTAATTACTGCGCATCTTAATTAATTACATTACACATAAGCCATTCTTAACATATACATATTATTGTATGTATATACATACGTATACGCTTTTCTATATATTTTTCTGAACGAAATTCCACTGAGCTTGTAACGATCGATGTTTTCCAATTGAATCTCATCATGAGATCTTTACAATTTGACTAAATAATATTAAGCTTCTGATCGCATGTTTCTTTATATTAATTACGCAGATCCAGGACTGTTTCGAAACAATTCTTTCTCATAACGATAATTTTATATCATAATTTGGTTTTCGTGATGTTGGATTGCATCTCAGAGAAACGCCACGTGGAAAACACTGGTGTAATTGACGTCATTAATTATGCTATAGACATTGATTAAGTCGATTTGATGGCACGACAAACTTTTCGCTGAGAAGAATCGAACAGTCGCATCTCGTATCATATAAACTGCGATGTAGTTTATCTTTTGTTGATGTATATATCGCGAATTTGATCCGTCAGCCACTCGATCGCCGGCTGCAGGCCCTCGCCAGTTAATGCATTCGTCGCTCGTATGTGCCAGGGTTTATTTTGTATTCGCTCGAGTCCAAGTCCAGCGACTAATTTTACGGTGGTCAAAGAATCGGGTAGGTCCATCTTGTTCGCCAGAAAGAGAATGGGTATCTTGCGTCCTGAAAAGTTTACTTCTGCTTTCAAGAAATCTCAAGTCTTTTAAGAAATTGTCAATTGTGAAATACGAACATTCGAAAGAATCTAAATTCTAAATCTTTTAACTGATTGACTATTTTGTGTTTCTGTGTTAAACGAGCATTCGAATTGCTATTCGAATTTTATCGTCTATTATGAAATGTACCTGCAACATCGGGATGCTGCAAGAGCATGTCCAGCTCTTCTTTCACAACAACCAGTCGCAGTTTATCACTGCTGTCAATTATGAAGATGATCCCGTGGCAATCTTTGTAATAATGCTCCCACAATGATCTATGACGATCGTGGCCCGACATATCGAATGCGGTGAAACTGACATTTTTAACTGAAACAATTTCGGCTTAATCGCGCCAATGAAATAAAAACAAAGCCTTAATAATATATTACGCGAACCATATATTATTATTATTTATTATATGTATATCAATTTGTATAATTTTGTGTTCAATTTCTTATTTCGTGTTTGGATAAGAAAAATATGTATATCTTCTTTTCTCAGCAGAATTTTTACGGAGTAACTTCAATTAAAATCTTGTTGTTTATTTGTTGCTAACTTATCAGTTAAGTCTGTTTCCACTGATAACAATTTAACTTTAAGCTTGATTCTATCAGATGCCTTTAGTGGATGTTTTATGTCTAAAAAATATCTTTTAGATATTTTATCCAACATGCATTATTTGGAACGCTTCATTTCTTTTTTAAGAATTAGAATTAAAATGAAGAGTAAGTCGAATCGAGATTAAATGTAATCTACATTGGCGGAAATCACTACGGGCATCAGAAACCAAGAAACTATTATATAATTTCAGTTTTTATAAATTTTTTAATTTTAATACTGAAAATATGATTGATTTAAACTTCATCAATTTTGTATCTATTTATTATTTCTGGAATTGTTAGCTTGACTTTTAACTTATTAATGTCTGTATAAATAAATAAAAAAGTATTGAACTTTTAAAAAAAGAATTAAATTTTATAAATAAATATAGAAATCGATAGATGTAATATTTTAATATATATTTAAAATAGACATGAATAAAAATTAATCATCTTTTAATCATTAATCGAAGTTTGATCGAAGTCATCTTCAATCTGCACCAATTGCATTAAAGTTTGGTGAAACTCGCCCTAAGAATAGCAGAAACACCAATGCGCCATCTAAAGAATTAAAGAGGAAAGTAGAGCAGTCGAAATATAAAACTAATTGAAAACTATGAATAATTTTGGCGCGAATTCGTTTGATTGTGTTTCTGTTACAAGTGATATAACGATTCTTAGAAACGAAAATGGAAACGCAAAGTTCCGCGAGTAGTTCGAATAACGACAATGAGAATATCGAGTCTGTAAACAAAGGTACATGAACTATTTATTAAACAAAGATCCTAACCTCACTAAAGTGGCGAGGAAGTTAAGTTAATCTATTTCTGACTTTTGCGACAGCTACAGAAAAGACGAATCTGCGCCAAGAAATAAAGAAACTGAGAAACATCATCAAGCAGCATGAACAGAATCTGCAAACGCGCTTTAAAGACATAGAGGATCATATGACCAAAAGACCCTTGCAAAACTTGGAGACTTCTTTGACATTTAGTAAATTATTGAATGTTGCTCTGAAGAACGATCTGTATAGATTCGCTGGTTTTCGTTGTGTTAAATTTCAGAAGGATGAATCTGTATTTAATTTTACGTCAACAAACGAAAAGCAGACAGACAATACTCAAGCAGTACAGATTTTTATTCAGGATGAAAAGACCAAACTGGGAAAATGGATAATGCCAGTGTCAATCAACATAAATAATATATTATCCAAAACGCCTATTGACAAGTTAAAAAAATTAACTGCCTTTATAAAGAACTGCAAGCATAATGTTGATTGTTACACTGCACGGCAAGAACAATTCCTATCACTAAAGGTATATTTTCACTTTGAAAATGATTATATACATGTAGAATAAATTACTTTTTGAGCTATAATACAAATAATGTTTTTTTTTTTTTTAGGAACATATGTCAAGTATGAAGCATTGTACTTTGCAATCTGATATGGGATTTAAGCAAATCAGCTTGGAATTGTATGGTATACACAATAGTGAAAATAATAGCTATATGAACTTAATAATACATTTGTTGTATCATCAAGACACTGCAAGACCTTATAAAGTTCAGATTGATACAACAAATGGAAACAAATTAAACATTGATATCAAACAGAGATTAAAGACATATTTTAAGAAATTTAAGATGTCAGATTTGCAAACTGCTTTTAATGAGATTCTATCAGAGGATAATTCTACATTTACATGGATGCAGGAAGACGACACTGAAAGTCTATTAGAGTTGAATGTATGGCATTTAGATATAAAAGTATTTAAAAGATTTTGGTTTATGATTAAGAAATATTTTAACAATTTTATTTTTAGAATACTAGCAGCTCTGATGAAAACTTCATAACTCAGCTACAATCAGAACGGATGAGTTCATTGAGAAAATTGCAGAAGAAACGTGAACTGAAGAAAAAGTGGAGTGAAAGAATAAGGCAAAAAACTACTGAAAATACTATATCCCCAGGAGATAGTTTAGAAGATAATCAAGAAACTAATCATTCAAATGCAAAAAAAAGGCGCATCAAAAGTCCACAGCGAGTTTTAATAAAGAAAAAGAAAGTAGAGAAGGCTGTCTTAAAACAAAAGAAAATTAATAAAAATCCAATAGAAATAACGCCATTCCATAAATCTAACGTTAAATTGAAACAGACGAAATTAAATTTCCAAACTCAAGCGGCTACTACTTCTAATGCAAATCAAATATCTTCGTCTGAATCAAAACTGGGGAATAAACCAGACAGCGAACAGTCAAAAATCCCCGAATTAATCACCAGTACACCACTATATCGCAAAATCAGAAATATACCCTTGTCACCCACTCTGGAGATTAATGATATTACATGTATTGATACGACAAAGAAAACAACAAATAGATTAGATTCCTTAGATTTATTAGATTACTCCAAAGACAGTGACGAATTAAGAAATAAGAAGACTTCAGAAAAGAAGACTCCAGAAAAGAAGATTCCAGAAAAGAAGACTCCAAAAAAGAAGATTTCAGAAAAGAAAACTCCAGAAAAGGAGACTACAGAAAAGAAGATGCCAAAAAAGGTTGATCGATTATTACGAAGTAGCATGAAGCCTCCTAAATCATCAAAGATTTTGAAGGCATATTCAAGGCATACTAGAAGTAAAAAAATAAAAAATAAAAAATAAATATATACGTTTAAAAAATAAAATAAATATTTAATTTTTAATATAAAATATATAAATATTAAGATATAAAAATATCGAAGTCAATTATAAAAAAAATAAATATAATTTCTTTACATATCAAATATGTCATTGCATTTATACATTTTATTAACAATTTTATATAGCGTCATCCTCCATTCTATATCTTATTATAAAATAAGTGGACAATGCTGTGATTTTTAGATTGTGCAGGTGCAATAGTGGACGCGTGAAGATAGCGTTGAAAGCAACAGAATCTCATATTTTTGACACTTTGTCGCTTTTCGCTATTTAACTTACATGCGAATTTTTCGACATTAAACCCGACAGTGGGCACTATGTCTATGCAACGGTCATCCTCGCGTTTGAAATTATTTATGACCGTTGACTTACCACTGTTATTAAGGCCCACTACTAAAACGTTTACTTCTTTTTTCCTAAGACCTAAGAGGTTCGCTAAACGATCGAATAACCCCATTTTCTCTTGGCGTTGTAAGTTTTCTCACATTTATTGGATATCAATAATCATCCCCTCCCCCATTTACGTTATTTGCGGATTAGAGTAGGGCTAGAACAATCCCTTCCAATGTTTTGCTTGCATCATTATTGAGAATTAATGTCAAAATTTATCACGTTTGAGAATCTGATGTGTTCTTAATTGAACACAAAAGACAATTTTTTTATTAATTAGATCATTTATTAAATCATTTGACGCCATGAATTCCTTTATTTCTAAAATATGAAAAGATAACTAAACAAACATATCTAATTGCTAGAAACTTTTTTTGAGAGCATTGTTACCAATCTGGGGGATTTCATCTATCATGTTTGAATCCGAAAACACAGCACATGTTTTGCATTTAAAGTTTAAATAAATTGACGTGTCAGTGCTTAATTACATTCAGATAATTACATTAGAATAATTACTTTTATTGTACTAGTTTTTGTATATAATTAGTTGAGCAAGACAAATCAAGATGGTAAGTTTTAATATGTACTAACTAATATTTACAAATATATCTTATTGCTACATATATATATATTTTTTTAATCTCCACCGGCCCTCAAATCCTGAGAGTTATATAGCACACAATGTTTTTGAACTATTAACCAGGAATTCTTTTTCCTGAATCTATATGAGACTTTTTAATATTATAATTCATAATTTCTGAACTTAACCTCAATTTTTCAAAGCATGCTGCTCTATCTACTGACTACCAGACTAGTTGATTTATACTGACAATGCTTTATTTATCTTTATTTAACATTTGATAACAAGAAAATGATTTCCGAAATATTGCGAGTGTGAATACTCCAGCAATAGTTGACCACATTCATATTTAGCCATGTGTCACTCTCTTATTTTTCTACAGTATTAATAGCTTAATAGTTATTTCACATTTCTAAAATAACAATGTAATTGCAGCCAAAGGGAAAAACGAAAAAGTTTATTGACAAGAAGAATTCTGTTACGTTCCACTTAGTTCATCGTTCACAAAAAGATCCATTAGTGGCAGATGAAACAGCACCACAAAGAGTCCTAGTTCCAGCTGCCGATACACAAGCGGCAAAAACAGAAAAGAAATTAGACAATGAAATACGCAAAAAGGAGCAGCATAAATATGGGATTTACTTTGATGATGATTATGATTATTTGCAACATCTTAAAGATGTCAATACATTATCAGTGGAATGGGAACGCGTTGAGAACACGAATAATTCCAAATGCGACAAGAGTGCTCCAAAAATTAATTTACCATCTTCGGTGTTTGCGTCAAATGTCGAGGAAAAAGTTGGTATGCTTAATAAAGCAGCACCAGTTTCCGGGCCGCGATTGGATTTAGACCCGGATATAGTTGCTGCAATGGATGACGATTTTGATTTTGATGATCCAAAAAATCAGCTAGAAGATAATTTCATAGAATTAGCTAATGCTGAAAATAGCGACAACGAAGATTCTGACAGAGAATATGGTAATTTATTAAACTATGTAACAATTCATACACATTCACTTAATC